TCAAGTATGAAATTGTTGTGTTGACACTAAACTAAAGTAACTGAATTAAAATGCGGCTAATAGAGTAGTTGCAAACACATGGACATCAAATGGCCTGAAAGCGAGACAGTGCCAGAATCAGAATCAGAACCAGAACCTGAACCAGGACCAAAACCAGAACCAGAGAAAGGGAAAGAGACGGAATGACGGAGTAAGATGGACCAGATTAACAGACTAGTTTATGGCAGTCCGTGGAACCCGAGACCCAACATGGAGACTGTCCGTGTGTGTGTGTGTGTGTGTGTGTGGCTGTCACTTAACTTTTTTTTTTGTGGCTCTGTCTCTGCTGACAATCTCCACAGGTGGAAGACAGATGAGAATGGGCTTGCGGGGCATGGATGGATGGGCTACTCTTGATGAATATGCTCAGGAATTTCTGTACTGTTAATGGGACGCTCCTTGCATGCGAATGTCTTTGTCCTTCTTTGTCATTTCTGGCCTGTGATTAGCAGAGCAAGAAGTCCAATTTTTCTAAAGTTTTTAATTCGGTTTTTGTTGGCTTTACTTGACTGCGGGTATTTCGATGTACTATACATACTTGCAGCGGTTCCTGCAACGTCTCTCTTATCTCTGGCATTGCTTTCAGCATTGCGGACTGGCAATCGAATGCAGGAGCTAAATATTGTGAGCAAGAATGGATTTTATTTGAACCGCAGCCAACTCCAGCCAGCAGCTCCTTCATCAATGTCATCTTCCATTGCATTTTGCACTGGGAGAGGGGGCACTTAAGTGGTGGCCGCGGCTGTAGTCTCTTTGGGATAAAACAGTACATGCATTGTCAGCAGAAAACCGTTGGAGGGGAACAGGTGTGAGGGCTACCGATGCACTATGAAAGCGAAGAAATTATATGGCACGTGCACCCCGAGTGCTCCCTTTCCGCAAGCGAATTATGCCGATGGCTGCATTTTCGTACAGCATTCCCCTGAATATTCCAATTGCATGCAAGTGAACACCCTGATGCTCTTCCCAGCGTCGTTCAAATTATATGGATACGATTTATACATTATGCTATAGCTGCTGCCATACGTAGATATTTTTATAATAATTTTAGTATATTTTTATTTTAATTTTATATTCCGTAGATCGGTATGAGATTATGATATGATGTAAGTTATGGGTAAAACTTTTAAATTCATTCATTCTTTTAATTTAAAGGCATGATTTTAATGTGTAAATTTAATCCTTTGCTGCCTTAATGAATAAGTTTGCATCCGGCAAAGGAAAATTACGTATACGAGTATGTGTGTATGTGTGTACTGTGTGTACTGTGTGTACTGCGTATGCGTATGCATAATCTGCGAAAATGTGAATAATCCTCGCCCACCCATTAGGGCAGCCAAAAAAGTTTTGCTTGCGGCCTTGCCACACACGCAAACACATCTTCACCTCTGTGCACGTGGCTCTCTGTGTGTGTGTGTGTGTGTGTGTGTGTGTGTGTGGTTGTGCTTATGCATTAGTGTATCTGTGTTCGTGTGGGTGTGGGGAAAAAGAGAGAAAGTTAAATTTAAAAAATGTCAAATTGCATACATTTAGGAGCTAATGAAATAAGTTAAGCGACAACAACAACAACAACAACAACAACAAACAACTGAGAGCGTTGCATAGTGCTGAGCACTGCGTTAAGTACCCTTCTGCGCTACTCTCCTCTCTCTCGCTCTCTGTCCCACCCACTTTATCCCACTTGCACCATGGGTGTGTACGTACGTATCTGTGTATGCAGTGCAATTTGAATTAATTTGACTTTTTTATGAACTTTAAGTATGCCAACAGTAGCCCAAAGCTTCTCTCAGCTTTCCTCTCTTACTCTTGCTCCTTGTTGTTGTGGTAGTTGCTGTTGTTGTTGTTGTTGTATTTGTTGTTGTTGTTGCTGCTGCTGCTGCTGTTGGTGGCATGCTGTGCGATGCAGCACATGCTGCCACTGCCCCAGCCCCAGCCCCTGCAGGGCCCTGGTTGGTGTGTAATCCTGTGGCTTGTGTGAACCGTGGAGCGTTGATGAGATGCCAGTCGAGTTAATCAGGAAAACATACGAGAAGTGAGCGAAAATGAATTCATAAGTAACCTTCGTGGCAACAGTTTCAAGGTTCCCTTCGCCAGGCTACTTAAATAATCAGAAACATAACCAATTAGGATTATGAGAAGCCAGCCAATGCCTGGCGTTGATTTAAGAGCAGAAGCAGCCAAATGGAAAAAAAAAAAAAACGTTGCCTCAAGATCGTATCATTATTCCAAGTGACAAGTAACCAGTGCATAATAATTTCAGGCATTGCTATTGCTATTACATTTTGCTTGCTTACACAAAGAGAAAATTGCCATCAATGGCCATCAAAGACTTAAAGCTCAAGCCTTCAGATTGATGAGCGCTTAGCAGTGACACTGACTCGTTCATTCAGCTTTAATCGGAACATTTCGATTTCCTTGGCATCATTCCCCGGCTCAGCCATGGCACATCTCTTCGCCGCAGCTTCCATCCAGCCGAGTCAGGGCCGAGTCTAGCCAACTGTCCATCATCTATCTATCTATCTATCACAGTGTCTATTTATCTTTTGTATCTTTTTTATCTGCTTAGCTGTTCCTGGCTGGCTGCCCCATATCCGGCATTACCCCCACATTCACCTTCACCCCGTTTGTTGTCTTGGTTGGCTTAGATGGCTGCTGTTGATGGCGTTGATTGTTGGTGACTTTGATTTTTGCAATCTGCTTTCGATTTATTTTATATTTCTTCCAGGTCACTTGCTGCAATATCCCCCAACCCCCCACCCTATCACTCATACCAGTATATATCTTCATTCCACTTTTATCTCATCTCATCGCATCGCTTCATCCCAACTCCTGTCACCCACACACATGTCCATCTTTGTCTCTGTCTTGGTCTGGCCACTTCACTTTTGATTTTTTAATTTTGGTCATTCTCCCCAACCCCAACCCCACCTCTACCTCTGGCTGTGGCTCTGGCTCTGGCCATGTCGTCGATAGACCATCCCTCCCAACATCATCAATTTTCCACTGTACCAGACCATTCGTAGCTCCAATTGTTGTTTCTGGCTATATGGAATTTGAGTTAATATCGAAATGTATGTACAATGCGGGCTCCCTTCTGTGTTTCCATTGCTGTGTTTGTTCCGCTGGCTGCCACATTTCCCATTCCGAAATGTTTCAAAATTTTGGCGTTTTTAATGATGAGTTTCTGTACCATTATTAAGCATTCGAAAGAGTATTGACACTGGTTAATGGAATTCTTGAATGCCAATTAATAATTTTTGGAATATTTTCACAGACTTTTATCATATTTTATTCAGAGAATTAGTATTTTACATTTAATTAATGTTTAAAAATGCATTAAAAATTTATTTTCAGATTGCTTAAAAAACTAAGAAAATATATGTATATATTTATTTTGGGATTTTAAATGACTTTTTATTCTGCCGCCACTTTTTAGACAAAACTTAATTTCAGCATCCCACTTATACACTTAATTACAATCAATGGAAAAAAAACAAAACAAAACAAAAGCCAAGCCAAGCCAACGAATTTTCTTAATATTCCACATAAATCTAACTTTTTGCCGCCTCGTCCAATCAATCAAGTCCTTTGGGTATTCAAAATGCAAAAAATATAGAAAAAAAAAGAAAAATCGTTTGAATTTTTTTGTGGGCCGCTTTCCGTTTTTGTTTGTGTGGACTCGCTATTGTTTCGCCTGATGGATGCCATGACAAGGTTCTCATAACTTTTTACCCCCCAAACAGAGATGTGTTTACAGCATGCAAAAACTATGCCAAATATCCTCAAACCCGTAGCCCGTAGCCCGTTACCCGTAACCACTATATGCGCGCGTATATCCTCGCTTTGACATCGCTCCTCATGGTGAGTGGAAAATGCTTCTTCCATTTTTGGCTGAAACCGAAACAGAAACAGTTGTGTTGTTGCTGCCTGCCGCATTTGGGGGAAGCTGCCAATCAGTACAAAACAAAATGTGACCGGGTGAAAAAAATTTGCTATGGGTTATGGGTGGATGTATTGAAGGGTGGGAAGGGGAGGGGAGATATGGGTGTGTGTGTGTGTTTTTGGCATTAATATAAAACGCAATCAAAATCAAATCAAATGAAATTTGTTCGAGTTGTTTTTGTGTGTGTGTGTCTGTGTGTGTTGATAAGTTCATTATGTTTGCATTGCTTTCGGTTAGTTTTTCCCCTCTTTTTCGAGGTGGAAAAACTGCCCCAGATTTACGCCCTATCATACCACTTCCAGCTGAATGTTTGTCTACCGATATGACCAATAATCAATAGATAGCCAGCACACACATACAGAGACTGAGACTGAGACTGCGACTGCGACGCACACAAACAAATGCTTGGCCGCACATTACAAGCGACTTGGGCCAGCCGCAAATTGAACTAATTTGATGTGTGAACAAAAGCGGGTGGAATGAGGCTATTTAGGAGGTGATGGAATAGCTGCAGGCAGGATTTATCCTGACATTGATGAGCAGAGCCAGATTGAAGACATTCCCCACATACATATGTATGTACCGTACGTATTTCTTGGCAGCCCAAAAGAACGTCTAGGAGCAGCAGTTGAGGGGAAGAGCCCACTTACAAGTATGTCCGAATCAATACTCGACGCATTCCATTCCCTCTCCCCATAATTAGCCTTCTTCCTCCTCTTAGCTGTGTCTGAGTTATGATTTGGCGATATATATGCATACCGCATTAATTCAATTCGATGTGGAAGTGTCTGAAGCGGGCTCCAAATACTGAATAAGTCGGTTCCTCGTGATACTCACTTAATGCAAATCGTAGGGAGATGGTCAGAAATCTACATAATTTGCTACACGCCGACACAGACTGTCAGAGTCCAAAAATTAATACAAATAATACAAATTAATATCCTCTGCTTATGGACAGATTTAAATTCCAGTACTGGAAAAGCCTCTTGATCCATTTCCTCTAAACGCTTTATTTTCTTTTTTTCCTGAGCCTTTTTGTATGTATTCTTTATTGGGGCATATCCTTTTTCTGTGGTTTACAAATTGATAACTGAATGTGTGAGTTGTGTGTCGCAGTGTATTAAATATGCTATGTGTGGGGCAAAGACATTTCAGTGTAACTTCTCGTGTGTGTGTGTAGCAACAAAAATGTCCCAAAAAAAGACATTCAAATTGAGCGAAAAATGCTAAACAAATTTCGCGGGGCGCAATACATTGGCACTGATATGTATGTGTGTGTGTGTGTATATGTTATGCGGGAAAAATGCTTAGGCTCCAATATTGTAAATCCATTTCCAATTGTAAGTATATATGCACGTGTGTATGCAGTGTCTGTGCAACTCTCTCTCCATCAAAAACAAAAAAAAAAGTGTATACGTAAGCGCAAGTGATTTGCCTTTTTAGGGATTCCCATCGCTGCCATCGGGCATCGCTGGCCTCTCGCGAGCGATGGAGAAGCGCACCTGCTGGCGCTCCGGTGCCGGGGCCGGTCCCGGTCCCGGTGATGAGGAGCGCGGACCCACCACCTCTGAATAGACAAAGTTGAACGGTGCGTTCGGCGACATGGGATCGATCATGTGTTGGTGGCGCGGCGGCCAGGAGATTTCGATGTCCGACTCCTCGGTGCCGTTCTCAGACGGCTCCCGTTCGTGGCGTACAGCATTATCCAGCACAGAGCCGCGCAGAATGCTTGGCGCAGCAAGATGGCGAGCGCGAACGTGCTTCCAAATATTCAAGCGTTCGGGATGAGCCTCGGGCACGGCCACGCACAGCGGACAGATGACCAGGCTGCGATCGTCGCGGTGCTCGTCGTCCACATGCTTTGCCAGTTCGACGTCCGAGTGGCCCATGGCGCCGCAGACGGGGCAAGTGAAGCTGTCGGCGCTCAGCACGGGCATTGGCTCCCCGGCAAAGTGCAGCATCTTGGCCTCGTCGTCCAGCAGGCACTGCATTGGATGCCCCGACTGGTGCTGCAGAGTCACCGCCTTGGCCTCGAAACAGGCCTGACACAGATCGTAGTCTGCGCACCTGAGGCACTTGTAGCGGTAGCGACTGATGCTGCCAGTGTTGCAGCCATCGCAGTTTATGGCCCAGTGGGTCGGCATTTTGCACCTTTACACCTGGAGAGATGATGAATGGATAAAACAATTACCATATCTTCAGGGGAACTTACTCTTTTGGGGACTCTCAGAACGTTCTCGACCAGCGGCTGGCCTGCGAGCAATTGCCAATGCCTAAAATTGCAAATAGTTTCAGTGCCCGATTCACTTTTTCACTAAATACTGTGCGGGGCTTGGGTGTTGCCTACTGACGGGCCAAACTATCAGATTTCAGTGGCTGGATGGCTTGCTTTGGTTTGCAAAACAAAAGATTTCTATTGGAAGCCGACAACGGGTCGGCAACTGGCAACTAAAAAAAAAAACAAAAAGAACTACCAAGATGGCGTCGCCTCGCGTCAATTATTATGGAGAGCAACCCTGCGCTCCGTTTGAAAAAACATCGGTAACATCGGTTGCCAGACATCTGGGAAAAAGGGTACTCAGGTCTAATTCAATTTAAATCGGATTTTGAAAAGGGAGCTAAGTAAATTTCTCGTTTCAGCAGAAGAGCAGGTTTCAAGCAGCTGCTTTCAAATGACTTGTAGCTGATCATTTTAATGATTGATTTATTTAGTTTAATTTAGTTTAATTTCTGAAAATATTGTTAATATTTCAAATTGAAATTTTCAATGAAAGGTATTTAAAACTGATTGAAACTGATTGTGCTGCATCAAGTTTATGTTCCAATAAGCCAATTTTCGAGTAAACTTTTGAGTATTTTAAAGCAGACACCATAAATAATGATTACTTATTATTATTATTTGTATTCAAAATAAGCCACACAGCCGAATTAAATATAATCATCCACTACCTTAAGGAGAATATTGTTCGGTAATAATTATAATAATTTGTTTAAATTATTATTGAGCAGCGCAATGATTTTGGAGCAACAAGTGTGCATATGCATAGCTAAAATATAATGATATACTTCGCCAGCAATAGTTAGAGCACCGCACAGCCTCCGAAGCCCGTCTTAATATTCTGTTTTTAATTATTATTATTTCAACTGGCTCCCAATTAAATTAGCATAATATCAATCGAATATATTTGCAATTCATACGACTTCGAGGCATGTGTGTGTGTGTCCTCGTGTCCAATCGAATGCCCCCGTGTCTGTGTGGGCCTCGTACATGCGAGTGTGAGTCCGAGTCCGAGCATGTGTGTGCATTCGCATATATACATATATATATATATATTTGTGTATATGTAGAACTGTCCATAAACAAGGCATCACAATGAGTTATCCTTACGCTCATTACATTTGGATTAACATGTTAATAATTCCAACAGACCACCCACTCGGTAAGTGTGTGAGTGGCGAGAGGAAAGGGTGTGTGTGTGTGTGTGTGATGAGGGGAGGTGGGTGGTTGGTACTCGTACGTTCAAGCATATGCGGGCAGCTACTCAACCCAGACCAACAGCTGAGTCAATAATTTAACAAATGCATGCGGCTGGCTATTGTGGGTGGGGCTACCTCAGAGACAGGACAGCGTGGTGGGCACTTACCCAGCATGTACGACGAGCACAAGACGAGGCTGGCCGGGAGATGGATGGATGGGGATGGGATGGGATGGGATGGATGGGACAAATCGATGTTTGGCCATTGATAGTTGGAGTGTTATAATTGTATGTTTGACAATCTTCATAACTGTCAATTAGATTGCCATATTGCTGTGGCATGCCAGCCTAGACCAGAACAGAACAGACCGGCGCCCACTCCTCTCCACTCCCCATCGGCCACACATTTCCTGCGTTGCCTAATGTAATTGTTTAACACACTGCTGGGCATTATTATAAACAAAATACCTGGACAGACATGGCCAGAGAGTGAGTTCGTTGGCTGGTTGGATAGACAGATGGATAGGCCAGAGGCAGTGGCAGAGCCAGTGGCAGAGGCAGTGGCAGAGGCATTGGGACATCGACAAGGATCTATCTGTATGAGGGCCGCCGCCGACTGCAACATGATTGCCTTGGTTTGATTGACTGCACTGCGATTGTGGTTCTTCTTCCTTCTTCCTTCGAGTACGAGTACGAGCATGTCTCTGTATCTGCCTCTGTCTATGTCTCCTTCCGCCTCTGCATCCTATTTCCATCTGCCCTGCCCTGCCCTGCAACTGCAACTGCCCAATGGGCCTCCGATTTTGATTTATAGAAGCAAATTGTATTTTGGCCTTTTTGATTGGGCTGTGCACTGGCTGGCTGGCTGGCGGCTGCTGCTGCTTTGGTAATACGAATCCATAACTGATTTGCAGCTAACTTAATAAATGCAACTACTTCCAGAAGAACTCAAATTGATATTTAATTAAAATGCTGCAACCAGAGACCGTAAATGATAGTAATTATTTTTGTAAGCGAATAATTCATTCATTCGCATTGAACAGCAACAATACACTGCACTAATTATTACCTGTACATATGTATGTACATCCAGAGTACTCTTTGGCAATAAGACACTCCACTCTCTATTTTTACACGCCCAAACGCTTCGTTGGAGCGAGGGGGCAGCTTGGCCTATTTCGGGTAGCAGGAACACAAAACAGGTGACAGGTGAAAGCCGTTTGGACGCCTCCTTGGAGTAGAGTTTGCTTGGGCGAAACTTTCATAGTTGAAGAAGGACAACAAAGTGTCGGAATTCTGCGTCTGTCGTTCATCAATGTCGCTCCTTGGCAATGTCTGACTGGGACAGCAACCGAAATTGGGACAGTGGAACATTCGAGCTGGGGCTGAGGCTGAGCCTTTCTCCGCTGGCTAAGCAGTACGCGGAATAAAAAAAAATAAAATAACTAGGAGAAACTGACAAAAGGATGAAAATAAACAAAAACTGAATTCTCAAAGCGACAGGACAGAGACGGAGACGGAGGCTGGGTCTGGGTCTGGGAGCTGTGCTAGTGCTGGGTATGGGTACGGGGCTGGGGCTGGGGCTGGGACTGGTGGTGGTCTAGGGCTATGGCCAAATCAAAAGCATAATGCATAATTACAACAATGGGACTGGACAGCGGCAAGGACGAGGGTCATCCAGATGAAGCGTGGCCAGAGCTGCGCCGGATCCCTGCCTGTTTCAGGGTCCTTATCAGGACATCCGCTTTCAGCGATTTTTAATTGCTATTGTTACAGTTTATTGTTTTATTATAAAGGCCAAGCGAATGAATAGCCAAAGACTGAGCTGGGCCAAGAGGAAATCAGTACAGAACAGCGACGAGACGGTCATACTCACCCAGTACCCATCCGTGGAGCAAGAGAGTGAGAGAGAGTGGGTGTGCAGAGAGGGGAAGCAAAAAGATTGAGACAAAAGCTTTTCACGCGAAATTTTCATTTAATTTATTTTGTCGTTTTAGCAAGTTTTAGGTTTCTTTTCTGCGCGATTTCAATTTCATTTTTAAACAAATAAGCGAACAATTAGCTGCAGTGATGAGGACAGGCAGCAGCCTTCCTTTCCTGGCCAGCAATACTGCTAATTGAAACAAGTCCCAGTTAAATTATTCATATCAACAAATGGATATCTCTATATGAGGTTGTTTCCTTTTTTTTTTTGGACACATCCAATTGAAATGATCGTGAAACTGAGCTCAAAGAAAGTCAGTTTTCCACAATTATAATTATATAAATATAATATAAATATATAAATATAAGTAATATAATATAAAATTAATAATTCAGGGTCGATCTACAAGAGTAGATCCCATTTTTTATATGCCAGTTTCTGTTCCGTTTCTTTTTTAGTTTCCAATTTAATTTGTGGAAATATCTCTTATTAAATGCAAGTTCCATTCAAGTTAAATAATTCCACGTGAAAGCAAGCTCTTTGCCACATTTTGTTGCAACTTGTAGGCATTTTTATTGTTCTTTTGTTTGCACAAAGTTAACCGACAGCAAGTCGAATAAGTTCAAATGTCAGACGCTTCTTATGGGGGATTAACTGATCTGAAAACTGTGTGTGGTTGTGGCAGCAAATTGTGTAGAGCCCTGCCAAATGATTTTTGACAAATTGCCTCGGAAAGGAGGTGTACTTTGCATTGTTACGACCCTCTACCGCACTCTACCGCCCACAGGGCCACAGTTGGCTACTGCCAACTCCTTCAACTTCTACTTCAGATGACTAAAACATCAAATTAATATGTATGCACTTTTTCAGCACTTGATCTGCATGTGTGTGTGTGTCTGTGTGTGTGTGAGTATCTGAGTGAAGTGGAAGAGCTCGACCAGCGGATGGCCAGCGCATATCCTTTCTGGAAAAAATATTCGTACTAGAAATAGCGGAGAGAGCGTGCCAAAAATGGAAGAGAAAAAAGAATTTGTATACAAATATGGTGAACAAATATAGTTGAAATGAAACAGCAAAGTGCACTCCAAAGAGGAGTGTGGAGTGGAGTGAAGCGACGTGGAGAGCAGAAAACAGGATAGTGGTGTGTGTGTGTGGTGTGGTGTGGAGTGAAGTGGAGGGGGAAGAACAGAGCTCCACAAGAGCCAAAAAACATAAGCATAAGTGCCTGCTCTGCGAGGACGAGGACGATGCCACTACAATAATCATAAAAGCGCAAAAGAAACAACAGGAACAACACCGCATGGCAGTCCAACCAGTTCCCGCTCCACCATATGTGACTGTGTCTGTGGCTGGCTTCCTATGTGGCTTCAGCTCTCCGTCTCCATCTGCATCAAGACCCAACCGGAAATAATGTATTAATCCTGTTGAGCCCATATTTTTTATTGGCATCCGCAGGAGCAGGACCACCAGCAGCATCGGCTCGCATGGAGTACCGATTATTTAAGGGGAATTCTGCCTTCCCTCGTTCTGTGGTGCGTCATTTGCATTAGCAATCGTTGTCAGCCATTGTCGTTACTTATGTCCCCCAGTCCCACAGTCCCTCCTCTGTCCTCCTGGACAGGTAATACACCACAGTCTTATAATAACACCATAAAGGAGAGAGAAAACAAGTGCAAATACTCGTGCGGTAATATATAAATATGTATTACAGCGTACAGGACAATTTAAAGCCTTTAATAAATATAACTGCCTCAACTGCGGCAGCGCGTCCTGTAATTATTATTACGCATACGCCCTATTGCCCGCCCAAAATGTTATCCCCATTACCAGCGCACAGTAGTTGACGATAGCAGCAAAACTGGAACTGGCACTGCAACTGGTATCTGATTTCAACATACAAATCGGTTTTCTCTGGCATATAATCAAAAAAAAATATATTTATAATTATTTGGAATGACTTTTAATTATTTATTTATTTAATTATAGCAGACACTTCACATTCAAATATTTTCGTGACCATAAATTGTTCATATAACACTCAGGATACTCCGTTTCTTTGTGGA